CCTTTGTCTTTCGTTCACGCTACTCCGTGGTGTGGGAGGACCTGACAGAATGAACCAACATTCCATCAGAAGTCAAGCCCTGCAAGTGACAGTTAGGAAGTGACAGCAAACTGGCGTCGCCTCGAGCCCCTGGCCCAGAAAACCCCCAGGCCGGCTGCCTTTGGATTTCACGTGAGGAGCCAAAGGACAGCTTCTTCGGAAAAGCCCAAGCCAAGACTGAGTCTCGCTGGCCTATTTATACCAGAGCCTGGGAGCAGCCAACGCTATTTCTACGGTAAGTTTATGTGACTGATGCTCTCAGTTGTGTGTCGGGACCAGTTGCATGAGCCCCTTCCCTACTAACCCGCCCTGAATCACGGCCTGATGGGTGACAGCACGGGCTTTGCAGGCAAATTGCTGTGTGACCTTAGATGAACCATTTTAGTTCTCTGGGGGCTCAGATGCACTCACTGTAAAACAGGGAAAAGATAGTCTATTATTGTTCTTTAAAGAGCTACTACACGTCCCAGGCACCAGGCGGCCCTAAGATGCGTATATTCTTAACCTCAGACACAGGTGCATTTAGATATTTAAATGATAGGTTGCACTGAACTTACTCTCATATATACATATGCACCTCCCAAATGCCCTTTGCCCTCTGGAATTTCCATGGAATGCCCTTCATTCTCATTTTCCTGTATCCCAATGCTGCCAAGGTCAGTAAGAAGTTATCTGTTCCTCTGTCCCTAAAACACCTTACCTGGGATCTCCCTTCTGGATCTGATCATTTATCTTACTACTAAGGGCCTAGTGCACCAAGTTCATGCACTTGGAGGGGGCGGAATCTCTCAGCCCGGCCTGCGCGTCAGTAAGAAGTTATCTGTTCCTCTGTCCCTATAACACCTTACCTGGGATCTCCCTTCTGGGGCGGAATCTCTCAGCCCGGCCTGCACCCTCTCACAGTTCAGGAGCCCTAGGGGGATGTCTGACTGATGGCTTAGGCCTGAGTGGCCTAAGCTAGCAATCAGACATCCTTAGCACTGCTGTGGAGGTGGGAGAGGCTCCTGCCACTGCCGCTGCACTCGCCAGCCGTGAGCCCAGCTCAGGGCTTCTAGCTGAGCGGTGCTCCCCCTGTGGGAGTGCACTGACCACCAGGGGGCAGCTCCTGCATTGAGCCTCTGCCCCCTGGTGGTCAGTGTGCATCATAGCGACCGGTCGTTCCACCGTTTGGTCGATTTGCATATTAGCTTTTTATTATATAGGATATCTTCCTAGGCTTGGAATGAATAGTCATAAAATCACAATATATTAACCTTTCCCATAACAATGACTTACTGAGCTCTAACTCTTCCCAAAGGACTGAGGAGGTGCTCTGAGAAATGGAATATTACAGGACCTGTCCCCCACCTTGAAGAATGAAACATTCCAGGAGCATCTATCCATCCATCCATCCATCCATCCGCATTCAGTATGCACTAAGGGCCTCCCGCTGTAACTGGGCAGGAGAACTCGGGGTGACATGACTGCTTGCCTCAGGCAGGGGTCACAGGGAGGGCTACAGTGGAAAGGCCAGGATTTCGGGGAGACCTGGAAAAGGAGGTAAGGTTACCACAGGGCTAGAGAAGGTCAAGGGGTCTTTTAGGTGTGCAGAACAGTAAAAGGGGAGAAAAGTCCAAAAGTTCAAGGGGCTGCGGCTGCTGAAGTCTGGCTGGAAGTCAGCGTGTGAGAAGGTGGAATTGGTGGCGATGAAGTCACGCCGGAAGGTTGAGAGCCCTCGGGAGCCTACAATGCTGAGAGGCCTGGATATCCGGAACAGTCCGCAAGGCACCATGGGAGGCTCTGAGAGCAGGTGACAAGATCAAGGAGCACTCACTTGGCAGTGGTTGGCAGAGCAGATTGGAAGGATGTGAGAGACTGTTCTCATACCCCGATGGAGGGCAGCCTGCGTCATGAGGAACGCAAACGGTGGGTATGAAGGACACGACTGTGTCCTCCAACCTCAGGAAACATCTTAGACAAAGGGTGCTCCACGCAATTGAAATGCCTAACGCCTGGAAATAGGAGCTGCGTGATACACTGTGTTAAATCATTGTTGGAATCATTGACTATCGGAGCCAAAGGAAACCTAGAAAGCGTGTAATCCAACTCATTTTAGAGGGAAGCAAGCGGGTTCAAAGAATGAAGTGATTTGTCAAAAGTTGCAAAGATACTGAATTCCCGGGGGGAGATACTAAAACCCAGTGTCCTCCACCCCGGGGTGCCCGGGGGCACCCCCTACGAATAGTGTTTGGTTTTAACTGTTTCGCTAAGGCAGCCCTGATGCAGTCCGTAGTCTTTGCTTACACACTGGAGGCCGTCCATCTCCGCGGCTCTCCTCCCCGGTCCCTTAAACTCATGGTCCTCTCTGGCTGCTTGCACCATCGCTGGCTGGGCTGCCACTTCCTGTAAAAGCATCCAGCGCTGAGCCTGCCGGCATCACCTTTCCCTCACACTGCGCCTGCACTGGACAGTCCACCCGAGTTCCAGAACAAAGCCCGCTATTTTCCCCGCGACTGGTTCTCAACCTTCTGGCCCTTTAAATACAGTTCCTCATTTGTGACCAAACCATAAAATGATTTTCGTTGCTACTTCATATCTGTAATGTTGCTACTGTTATGAATCGTCATGTAAATATCTGATATGCAGGATGGTCTTAGGCGACCCCTGTGAAAGGGTCGTTCGATCCCCAAAGGCGTCGCGACCCACAGGCTGAGAACCACTGCTTTATAGCATGGTTTTCATATTCAATTTTAAACTTTGTTTAGAATATGACATTCAAAATGTTTACGTTAAGAATAACTGAAGAGCTACCTGTATGGATTTATTTCTTTCAGCTGGAATATATGGGGGGGGGGGGCGGGGGAAGGGAAGGGAAGGGACCCATGTTTCCCAGACACACACTTGAGAATACTGAATCAACAAAGAACGATGAGGGGAAGCAAACGCTAAGAAAATCTCAAAAAGTGTATCAGAAATATTTAACCCCACGACCAAGTCACATTTTTCAGTGCGAAGAGAGAGATACAGCCCCTTACACTTTTATTCCACCTGCACATTCCTAGGTTTTGTAAAATAGGGAAGTGTAAAATGCTTACAAAACAGCACCACACCCAGGACACAGGGAATCACCCTCTATTTACTGTAAAAGTGGGTTAAATTTTTGTAACTTGGTGTGAATAAAGCTCACTGGGAAAAGCTTTGTAGGGAAGCCAGCAAAACCGTTCTCCTTAAGAACAAAAGAATTCGTTACCACTAGTCACTTGCAGAGGTGCTGTATCTTAATATGCTTTTCTTGCAAGAAACGGATCGTGTCAGACGGTACAAATGGGCATCTCGCAGGAAAACTCTCCACGAGCTACGACTTCAGAAATGAACTCTCAGAATGAGACAGAAAGGCAGAGGGGGCAGAGCCGGTATTAATATTTATTTGCTGACGCTCAGCCACATTAAAGCCGTCCTATTTCTGCGGTTTGGTGGGGCTCGGCACACAAATGGTTGCTTCTCAATAGAAGTCTGACAAGAAAAACTGTTCACTATCGTGATGGAACTGAATTCCGAAACAGCCATGCTCAAATAACCATAGAAACTCTGGTAACGTTACATTCTCAGCTCTCAAGAACAACGCTTTAATGGGCATTCAAAGAACAGTTATTATTCTGCAGTATTAAGCAATTTTTTTTGTCATAAAAGTGCTTTATCTATTGGGATTTTTTCCCCCAGAGATCACACATGTTAGAAATGATGTACTTTCTTTCTTTCCTTCTCTCTCTCTCCTTCTCCCTTCTCCTTTTCTTTCATTGTTTAAAGGGGAAGTTGGCAGTATTCCATTTGGAATATTATCATAACAAAATGTTTTTTTAAACAAAGTTTGATTTTAACAGAACTAGAGGCATCTTGACACTAGCCTAAAACTTTGGGAGGTTCATCAACCTCCAGAATTTTTTTTTTCCCCAAAAGCAGGCTGTTCAAGTGGTGTTTTTCTCCATCTGTCATCATACCGTGCTCGGAATTACATGCTCATATTTAATGGAAAAGGGATCAGTCCCCTTTTCATAATTTAAATTCAACATTTTGCTATGATTAGAAGACCAGTGTTTGTCTAAACGGTGAGCCAAACCAACGATTCTAAATCGACATGTGTATTTAGCCAAAGTTCTCCCTAAAAGCCGAAAAACTCCCCAAACTGAATAAACTCAAAGGCTTGACCTGAAAATTGAAAATTATACTAAAACTGAAAGTGAGAAGAAACCACTTACAGGATCATGAGAAATATCTCCGGTCACAGTGCGAATTTTTCTCTGCTGTATTTCTGCGTCTGCGTGTGTGTTTTCTACACAGCAAATCACACAATGTTTGCTATCAAAAGTACCTTGTTGTAATTTGGGGCTGAGTTTATGTGTTTACTGGAGTTTTATGACAATGATACTCATATCACAATACCCCCTGACAGAAACAATAGGCTGGGAGAGCAGGATGGTGCGAGCCTGGTTATAATAATGCTTTAAATGTGAACAGTGCAATCAATTTCATGTCAAAATCTTACACCTCCTTGGGACCCAGGGTCCTTGTTAGTAGCAGTTCCATCTTCATTTGCATCTCAGGATACCTTTTATTTTGCCTCTTGAACCATGTCAGTGTCTGATCCCTTCCCTGCATATATTCCTGGGTTCCTTCAGCGCAGCAGTTGTATTAGACACAGGGTTAACACGCGAGATGGTGGTAGGAGAAATATGTCATGTTGCTTGTATTGATGGAGAATCGCCTAAATATTTGAGCATCTTTGGGGACAGATCAGTAACTCCCTGCCACACTCATCACTCACATGTCGGCGTGTTTTGCTTCTCTGCCTGAGAGCTGTGTCTGAACGGGATGCCTGAGACTAACTCCAACAACTGCTGGGAAGCCTGTGGCAACCTCCGGTGGGCTGAAATGGGGCCATGGTGGGGAGGGGGCCGGGGGGGTGCGGGACGGGATCGGGGTACCTGGTGAGGTGCAGCTGGCGCTCGGCCTCGCCCAGCCGCTCTGTCAATGTCAGGAGCTCCTCGCTGGCCCCCGCCGCCTTCTGCTGCTCCCGCTCCACGTGCTGCCTGCTCTCCCTCAGCTCCAGCGTCAGTCTCTCTATTTCCTTAGGTAGAGAGGCAGGGAGAAAGCATCCGATCAGACACAGGCGCTGGGCGGCAAAACTGCCTCGTTTTGGGTTTTGCCATGGATTTAATGTGATAAGAAATTATTAGGAGATGGAGGCTAGCGTCCATTTGATGACAAAGGGAACTAGCAAAGCCAGAAATGCACATTAGTAAGGGGTTGTTGTGTGATTTCTGGAGATCGTAAGATGAAGTCTGATTTTAAAGATGAAATGATGAAATGAGAGTAGTCAAGACGGGTAATCTGTACTTGCATTCGAAGGCTCAGTCCCTTTAAAAATAATCTGAATTTAAACTGTCACTGCTTTTACAATGTAACATTTCTATTTGTGAGTGTACATCAGACACATGCCAGGGTTGCCATCAAACATGTGGATCCCTCCTGAAAGATACATTTATGGTTTTTATTTGGATATTTTGAAAACCAGATTAGTGGGTAATATAATTTAAGATATCTTTTAGAAAAAATGTAAGGTGTAAAAGGAGGTATCATGACGATGATAAATATTGTTTAGAAAAAAAATGATTTAGGAGAAAAACCTTTAAGCATTTAGAGTGTATGAGATTTCTGAGCTAAAATAATATTACATTGAAATTGCATTATAAAAAAGCAACAACAAAAGTACTCTCAATTCATAAATATGGACATCTAAAATATGTGAACATTTATGTTGGCTAATTTCTTAGTCTTAGGGTGAAATTATCTTTATCTTGCTGAAATGCAAATATTTCAAAGCAAAAATGCTTACATAGAACATAGTTTTAAATAATTTATACATTACAGTAGAAATATTTATTTATTATAGAACACCTATAAAAAAATTTTTAAAGCTATAAATATTCATGCTATTAAAACAAGAAGAAAAAAAGGGAGAAACATTTTCAAATTCAACAGAAAGGAAGAAACAATTTTTAAAAATGCAACCCCCTTTTAAAAAACAAACCCTGCCCAAACAGATAGTTTTAAATTCATATTTAAGTACATTTCCAATTTCCTCACATCATTACTTAGTATTCAGAACAATTTCCAACTATATTTAATACATCAGGCAAGAAAAACTAAATAGCTTTTTCTGTAACATTTGTTTCACTATAAGTATTCAGTTTACCCCATCAAAACCACATATTACTAACAATATAATAAAACAGCTTCTTACAAGTACTCAAATATTGTTTTAACTTTAAAAAGCTATGTAATAATGAGCATATCATTTTCATTCGGAGTACATTTTCTATATCTTTCAGATTAGAATACTAATAAAACCTATTTGTTTCTTTTGAAAATATTTTAAACTGTTAAAGTTAAACCAATATATTTCATCTCATAATTAAATAGATGAAAAAACATAACAGAAAAATCTATTTAGTTTTGTCTAATATTGTGAAATAAACAAAATCAAAGAAATACAAAATTTAAATTATATTTTGAATTTAAAACTTTAAAATCCATTGGTTCATTTTTTCTTTTACACAGTGCTATACATAAGACACTGTACTATGTTGAACTCAGTTCCCATTTCTTCTATACCCAGAATTTAACTATTCAGTTGGGTAAAAATGAGACACACACACAGAGAGAGACTAATACAATACAAAGCATATAACAAATAAAAACAAAAAGGTATTAGAGAAAAATCTGTGTTTTAAAAGGCCAGATTAGGAAAATATTAGGATGGGCAAGAAAGTGGGAATGCAGGTCAGGGCGCATGAACCTGTGGGATGATAGATTAGACCACATTATGAAAGGCCTTGAATTCTAGATTAATAAAACCGTATTTTTTTTTCTGCTTCTCTCATATTACATTCCTGTTTAAACCACATCTCCTCGTTATAGATAAGAAAAATACAATTTTATTAATTTACTGGTAGAATTCAAGAGATGTTAGTGGTTTAAACAAGTATGCAATATGAGAGAAACTGAACTTAAAAAAATAAACTGGATCAATGTGTCTGATCAATGTAAGATGGCAGAGACCACCAGCGGGGAGATCACACACAGCTGCAATATTCCAGGCAGGAGGAGTAGAGACATATTCAAATATACATTAAAAAAAACAAACAGAAATATAAAGAGAACATGTGAGTTTGTGGAAATTAACGGGGAGATATCAGGAGACATCAAAGATGACTCCAGAATTTTGAACTGAGAGGATCCAAAAAAGAATGAGGGAACCGAAAATGTATAATATTCCAAACTCTCTTAGAAAGAAAAGATGCCATGATTTTTATAAGCAATATACAAAAACAACATAGGAAGCCTCACGCTGACCATGAGGTATTCAGGATAAATCATCTGCTTTCTTAATCTTATGCAGTAAGAACTCGGAGGCTGCCCTGGGAGCCATGCAAACATCAGCATCAAGACGGCAGACCCAAGAGTCATCGCACATCAGGGCTGCAGACCCAGCTCTGGCTCCTTCCAGCTCGGTGACCTTAGACACATGGCTCAGTTTCCTCAGCCTGAAAAGGGAGTGAAAACTGCAGCATGTTCCTAAAACTACTGCGAAGATCATATCAGATGCTGAGTCCTTAGCAAGTGTCTGGCACGAAGTAAGAGCTGAATTAAAGATGGCAGGCATCATTATCATTTCTGATTTCTCCTCCATCTTTCAAGAGCAGCAAAGACACACGCACACACACACACACACACAAAGACAATTAAATACAAAGCATATAAAACACAACAACAAATGAGTATTAGAGAAATCTGTGTTTTAAAAGACCAATTAAAAATATATTAGCACAGCCAAAACCGGTTTGGCCCAGTGGATAGAGCATCGGCCTGCGGACTGAAGGGTCCCAGGTTCAATTCCGGTCAAGGGCATGTACCTGGGTTGCGGGCACATCCCCAGTGGAAGATGTGCAGGAGGCAGCTGATCGATGTTTCTCTCTCATCGATGTTTCTAACTCTCTATCCCTCTCCCTTCCTCTCTGTAAAAAATCAATAAAATATATTTAAAAAATATATATATATTAGCATGGGCAAGAAAGTGGGAAAGCAGATAAGGGCACATTAACTCAAGGAATGATAGACCAGACCACATTATAAAAGGTCTTGAATTCTAGATTAATAAAATTGTATTTTTCTTATCTATAATGAGGAGATGTGAATGGTTTAAACAGGAATGCAGTATGAGAGAAGCAGGAAAAATGACCTGCCTAAAGATATATGATTATCACTGAGGACTAACAAGTTCATGCTTTCATTCAATAACATTTCCCCCATAAAGCACTGTTTCGATGAAATCTGAATAAAACTTTATTATCATTTCCAACCGCAAAAAGCATCTCTGTGAGGAAGATGGAAAGCCACTGCCTGCCCCTGGTGATCTGTGCCAGAAAAAGAGCTTATTGGTGCAGATCAGCAAAACCAACAAGTAATCCCCCCAGCTGGACCGGGGCTCGGCACCTACGCCCTGACTTGGGACAATCTGCCATGGCACCAACTCCGACAGTTAGGAGTCTCTTGCCAGAGACGCCATGCGCCCACTGGCAGGGTAACCCTCCGCCTCACCCAACTAGGTCAGGGCTGCTGCCTTGGCTGTAAGCGGCAGCTCAGGGACGAAAGGCCCAGAACAGTCATAAGCCAATTGCATGTTACTCTTAAAGTGCACCACTCACCCGCAGTGTCTACAATGCCGGGTAGTGTGGCCGTCCTTGCCCAACTGGGCAAAGACAAGGCCAGATTGCTTTACACTTTACCAAAAGGTACGGCATACTTCAAGCCATGAATGCAGCCACCAGAACCACGGGGGAAAGACCCAAGGACAGGAGATGGAGCAGAGAGGACTCGTCACTGTTCATGTATGATCTATAGTATAGATCATATGGATCACTTCCTATGGTATAGATCAGTGATCTGCGAACCTTTTGAGCTCGGCGTGTCAGCATTTTGAAAAACCCTAACTTCACTCTGGTGCCGTGTCACATAGAGAATTTTTTTGAGATTTGCAACCATAGTAAAACAACGACTTATATTTTTGATATTTATTTTATATATGTAAATGCCATTTAACAAAGAAAAATCAACCAAAAAAATGAGTTCGCGTGTCACCTCTGACACGTGTGTCATAGGTTCGCCATCACTGATCTATACCATAGGAAGTGTTTTTCTTAACCAGGGACATATAACTTTTATTTTTATAATTAAATTTTCTGATCAAAGTCATATGACTAATTTGTGTCAAATAGCACTCAATTGCTCGAAACAAAGAAGGGTAGTACCCATGCTACCCCTTACCCATCCCCAAGCCTGATTTTCAAAGGCACACACTATCCACTCTTCTGGTATTTTCATATTTTTCAGCGACATACTTATAATGCTATTTCTTGATTTTTGCAGTATTAGACATTTCCTATTGACTCTCTGTGATAAAATAGGTCATGATTTACATCTCTTATACCACCCACCCAATATCCCCTTCTCACCCTCCCATGTAACAATTTTGGTTAAATCATTAATCAGTAGTCCATTTACATTATAATGACTACAGAAATAAATTTCACTATGGAGACAAGAATCATTTTGCTCAAATTAATTTTCTTGTACAATATTATATTATTTCTAAAATTAATTGCCAAGTTATTAATAGTTTGTCTTTCTGGGTAACTGACATCCCCCTGCCCACAAATAATCAAACAGATCTGTCAAGTACCTGTCAATAATAGTTTTCCAAATAATGGGACACATCAGATAAATGATCAGTTCCTCTTAAATTTTTTCCTTGATATATATATCCTTTTTGGTTTCTTATGCCTGGCCTGGTTGGTCGTTCTATTGGGCCAATCCTTACCTGTGCTCTTATTAGAGTTCCCTGTTTTCTGGTTGTAAGTGATCCTGCTTTTAGATTTATTCTCTTTTTGGCAGAAGTTTATTCTCCAGGTAACTTTCATAAGAAAGGATATATGAATAAAACATGTTTAAAGTACCTAAAAATGCTGTTATTATATGCATACACTTGTTAGTTTGGCTGGGTATCAA